TAACATTGTTTGGCAACGAAATATTCAAATTTGTGACACTGTGATTCAAATTATAATCAGATGAAATATGTAATTTTCTTTATCATGGAGTAAACGATATGGTCTAAAATCGTATTAGTAAACGCTATCTACTCCATAGTTTTTAAAATTAATACTACAATTTTTGCTTTGAAAGGTACCTTTTATTAGCTCCCAACTCAAAACATAAATATTACTAGTTCGAATAATGATCTAATCACCATTTTCTATATTTGAGTTTTCTTTCTCCTATATTAGTTTTTTTTCTTTCTTTTCACCAGTTTATAACTTCATATATTAGATAACATCAACAAAAAAGAGAATAAGGCAAAAGTCTGTATTACATAACAAGTACCCTTTAGAATTAGTTGAAATGTGTGCAAGCTGATCCAGACACCATAATAAAAAATTTATGATGAAATTGGCCATTGTAAAAATGATCAACTTTGGTTAATAACTAAAAAAAAAGGGTCCCAAAAAAATTGTGGAAATACATGGATTTTGTTGAAAAATCTCAAAACAAATTAATAGCATGTCAAAAGTTAGAATGAAGATGACAAAATTTACATGTCCTAGCAACATAACATGACAACAACCTTATATATATTTCATGTATATGCCAAAATAATAAGCACTTACAAAATTAATTAATCATCTTCACCAAAATACAATTAATAATTAATTAGACACTAAAGGGAACATCAACTTAGTGAATGAAGTATGTAACTGCCAATGCTAACAACATTAATACGTATGCAATCCCTTGGTCAATTGTTGTTCCTGAACACAACAATAAAATTAATTAGCTAAAAACATATTAGACTATTAAATAATCTATAATTATCTCATGAGTGACATGGTTATGTAAATAGGACAGCAAAAAAAGTATTGTTTTTCCCAACAGAGTAAAAACAATGGTAATGAGTGCTTCTCCCAAGCTATATTAAAATTAAACGAATATCGAATATCGTCTAAAAAACAAAAATATCTCATTCTAAAAGGCCTATGTTACCAAGAATATAAAACAAAAATATTAAGCTGACTAATTTGGCACAAGAATTCTGGTGAACTTCATGTTCACCAATATTATTTCTACCAAAACATAATTATATGCAAAGAACAACTAAATCAAACCTAAATCGAACAAAAAGATACTAGAATATATCGATCAACAAATTTAAACTAACAACAAAACAACATATTTTTTGTGGGATTCAGATTTGAAGTTTATGAGTTATTATCATTATGACACATTAACATATAGTAATTTCTTATTATACATTTAAGCTACAAACAAAATTTATCGAATTCTAGTATACTCAAAGACGATTCAGTTCAGAATTCTAAGTTTATGAATTTTTACAAGAACCTTAAGTCAAATGTGCCATAATAACGGGTTTAATCATATAAAAACTAAACATGTATAGAAAATTCGGACAAAAATTACTAAATTCATGTGAACTCATAATCAAGCTGTTATGACAAAAAAAACATACCATCACTTGCCGGAGCAGGGGCCGGAGCATAAGGCTGTTGGGCTTGAGCAGTAGGCAAAAAGATGGAGAAAATTAAGGCAAATGCAACAAAGAAGCCAAACATCACCTTACTAGAAGAACCATTAATCGCCATTGTTAATTAATTAATTATTAATTAGTAGTAATTAATATATTTCTTCAACTCTCTCTGCGAACAACTCTTTATCTTGTAAGATTTAAAAAAAAGAGCTTTATTCGCAGAGAGAGCGAAAGAAAAAATGTATCAAAACGAAAAAGAGATTTTTCACTCCAATTTCACAACAAATTTTCAGAAATTGTTTTGAAAAATTGTGATTGATGAAAAAGTTTGAGATATGGAAATGTTATTTTGTTTTATAATAATAAGTAATATTTTTTTAAAAAATTAATTTGGATGAATGAACGAAAAGATCGGTAATTGGTAAGAATGTGGGGCTTGCCAAATGTATTGGGAGGGAAAAAGTCAGATAACTTATTATTAGGTTGTTATCTATTCTCTACCCTTAGTTGGCGCCATATTCGTTGGCTTTGTATCTTTCCACATTTCAGCATTGGATCTGATCTTAGCTGGTTGTATTGTTGGGCCTGCTGCTTGGTTTGAGCCATTCCTAGTTTTATTTTGATTTTTTTTGTAGGTCCAATTGTGGGCTCAATGTTTTGGGTCTTGTGGACTCTTAATATTTTGGGCCATCAACTAAAATGATACAAAAGATGTTCTTTTTTTTACTTTTTTTTTTTTTTGGTAAACAACATAAATTTTACTAATTTATAAGTAAATACTTTCTTTCACGCGAGTTTTTAATATTATGAAATTTGTTAGAATTTGGATTGTGGAGATGAGTTCAAAATTAGTGCAATTTATTTAGTTGGCCAAAAGCCAAAAATAAATCGGATGCCTAACTTTTAATAATTTTTTTATTATTGGGATTCAAAGTTATTTCTTTCTTTTTAATAAAAAAAACTTTATTTTTTCTATGGTCTTAAACTATATATATCAAAATATTTTGTAATCTTGACATATCATGTGGAAGTTAAATTTAAAAATTGACCCCCAAAAAAGAAACATTCTTTAATATTTCGAAAGAAACTATAAAATATGACAAATAAATTTAAAAATATAGTATTTTTTTTTTGTTAAAAAAAACTTATAATAATTTTATTATTATGGCCCTTCGAATTTGGCGGCCTAAGACGTATGCCTTATTTTTATAAGCATTGAGCCGCCCTTGTATACAAGTGGATTCGCATGTATCTGACTATCTCGCTCGCCTCTTTTCTTATATATCTATATTTCAGAATTTATCTCATATTCCAGATCATACAAGAGTGATTTACATGTATGTGGGATACATAAACTATCTCACTCGCCTCCCTCCTCTCTTGCTCACCTCTCTCCCTATTTCAGTGTATCTGATAGCAAAAATACATGTTTGTTTTTATATCATTGGTGGTTCGAGATATACATACTTTGACTTTGATTAATTGGCTGTTGATAGTAGCAAGTGCCGTGCTTGTTAGGCATATATATTGGTATAATTGGTGTACATGCATGAACCATTTTAAACACCTAGGAAGAATATTTTATTCTACTCACCGCTAATAGTGTTAAATGAACGGATTGAATTAAATTTGAATGAATTAAAATAGACTGAGTTAATGAATGAACGAATTACTAACTTATTCAAAAGTTACTTGAGATGAAATAAGTTTTAAAAAGGGTTATAATCCAATCCAACTAATTTTTACTAAGTTGAATTGCCTCAAGTGGATATAAGTAGCTATGATGTAATTAATATTCCAAGTACATAGCCACTCATCAGTCGTGTTCACTCTCTGATCGTACATACAAAAAAGTCAAGCAATTTGCTTCTACAATAAATTGGCCATGGGAAACAATTTTGCAGTTCATTTACATTGCCAGGTTTGAAAATTGAAATATAAAAAAAGGAGAATATTTTAATTATATCTAAGGAATGAAAGAAAACGTTCACCTACGTGAACGTCATAAGTAGAAACATGAGTTGTGATAGAATGATTGAGATTTCTTCACTTTTAATCAGAGATCTCTGCTTTGAGTCATTGAAAATAAAAATAAAAACTTATTGAGAATATTATCCCGACCCAAAAAATAGGCCTTTTCAAATACTTTAGTTAGGATATGTCCAACTAGACAAATAATATATATTGGACTTTCATATTGATTGAGGTTGTTAGTGATATTATATTGATATGAATAGTCTTACTTTATGAGCTAAGTTTTAGGATCAAGTTATTTATATAGAAAGTTTGTTTTTTTTATTATCAAAGACAGATTTATTCTTATATTTTGCTGCCCAAGTTGAGCCTGCATATATATTATTTTATCGAACATGGATTGTAGTTAATTATTTTATATGATATTGAACAATTCTAATCCCGCAAACTTGCTTTTGGTTTGGAGTTAGTTCGAAGTTATAGTTTTCTTTATGCATATGTTACATCGGCAACCAATCGATCCAATTGTATCAGATACAATTAATTCAAGATTCAGCCGTAATTAAATTGATTGAATATCGAGCTAACACGATACTTATTTTGATTACTCAATATTGCCTCATGGACACGACAAAGGTACAAATAGTACTTGTAATAAATGAAAAAAAAATTAAAAAAATCGATCCAATGGATTCAGATGAAGTAGTCAATATTGTACATTGTACGTGGTTGCAAAACCTTACCAGAAGTACATGCAATATTATTTTCATAGTTAAGAAATAGGAACTCGTTACGAAATTTGTCACTAAATAATTCGTAATTAAAAGGATTTTTTAATATAATATATTGTTAATTTGTCGTTAAATAAGATTTGTGATTATTTTATTTAATGTTTAGCAATAGAATTAAGACATACTCTAGATTGTTGAGCAACTATTAAAATTGCTTTAGCACAATAGCGGATCCAAGATTATTATTAAGGAGTGTTAATTGTTGTAGTAAAAAATACAAATACACAATTTTTGTTAAAAATATATCTCTGATTATATTGTAGCTCACTTATACCGTTTAGCAACGCTAATTTGGAGCAAAAAGAATATTGTCTTGTATTTATAAGTGTTACCAGAAGGCTCAATATTTTAATAATTTAAATCTGTGGCTAATTGTTTAGAAATTTATTTTGCTGACACAATGTATGATTAATTAAAACTAAGTAAATCCCTTCTTCCATCACAAAAGAGTGTGGTACAGTGGAGGCTGGGTTGCTTCTCTCTGAATTAGAGGTTTCAATTTCGAGTTTCATGTATGAAAAAATTCTTATTAGGGAGTGTTACCCTTGAATGGTACATATCCGATGTAAATTCAGGTTAGTCAGACTCTGATAGATACCGAAAATCGAATAAAACATCTAAAGAAAGAAGAAGTAGTAAATTCCTATTGCAAATGTATAGCAACATTAAGAATTCTTATATATAGTAGTAAAATTCATTCAAATTAAATTAAAACAGCTGATTGAGTTCACAATATAAGCATTACATCATATACATAAACTACCACACTGGTAGCTAGCTAGTAAATTAAATTATACAACCTTAATATAATGTAGGGAGAAAATTTAAATGAAACCACTACTAAGGTTCCTATATATAGGATACATCATGATTTGTCATATTATTTCAACAATACTAAAGCCATGACAATGATCATAGTTCAACATTACAATTTCTAGTAGAATTCACTATTTTTAGTTCAGTTGAACCTGCATAACTCGTTCATTCAATTTTGGCTAGGCCAAAGGAAAGCTCCCATAGCAAACTTCCTCTTGTGATTGACATCTCCGATCAACGGTAGTCCATATTGTCTGAGAAGGCAATCGAGTTTCCACATCGGCATCGTCTCGTAATCGGATTTTTTGTACCTTGGATAGTGCAATGGCATCTGAAAATTACTACTAGTACAAGTACTAGAAGTGTAACATGATTTCGAATTTTCGATTTTGACTTGAAGTTGAGATTGATTATTTTTGTTTTGGTTCAAAGAAAACATGGTTGTTGTAGTATATGAAGGGTTATTATAAGAGCAAGCACCACTTCCACTCATGATTCTTTTTCTTTGTGATTTCTCAACATACATAATGTAGTATCCTTTTATAGCCAATATATCTTGGGATGAGGCTAAGTATGACTGGAAGACCAAGTCAGAGACTGCTAGACGTTTCATTGACGGATACAATTGGAAACCTTATAGTATTAAATGAATGAATATTCTATGAGCTACTTTATTAATGACATATAGCTTTTTATTCTTTTTCAAAACGTTTGTAATTTGTTTCATATCTTTCATTAACTTATCGACTTATACATACTTCTAATGTTAATTTTTGTTTCAAATCTATCCCTATATAATTTAAAACATCAAATATGCTCCTCACGAAGTAATATAGGGGAATGTTTGGACCTTTTAAATAAATTTCTAAGAGATATATTTTGACATTTATAATTATTAGTGATGTATTTAGACCTTTTTAATTAATTTATCAAGTGCATGCTTCCGACAAAGATATGCATATATTTACGAGTAAAAGAATAAAAATTGCACAACTCTACAAAATTAATGAACATTGAATTTATTTAGTCAGATATCATAAAGACTAAAATCAGAAATTATCAATAACTAAGCGACCAAAAATGAATTAACCCTATGTTGAATATTCCTTATGTAAACTAGTAATACATCTAGAATCTAGTCGGATTTAAATCATGTGAATGAAATCGCTTTTGACAGAAAATTCATTGAAAAAAATGAGAAAAATAGCTAAAATTGCGGAAACATATTTAAATGAGCCCCAAAATAAACGGAAGTGCGTTAACAGCCATTTTCAACTCTGAAATCCAAAAGAAACAACTTTTCCATTTTCTTGATCAGGTTGGCAGAAAAAAATGAACAAAAAGAAACCAAAAATCTTATAAGAATAAACCTTAAAAATACATTGGTTCTTTTGTCATTTTTTAAAACAACCTATAATTTGTCACCCTTGGTAATTTTAAATTTTATGTTACCATAGTCACATATAATTTGGATACTTTTTTTCTGAAGATTTTATTACCAGAAAGTTGGTTTCTTGATCAGATAAAAAAAGGGTTGGTGCTGAATTTCTATTAGATTCATCACAATATAATAGAATTCAGCAATTTTCCTTGTCCAAGTTGCAAAAATCCAGCTCAATTTTGCCTATTTTGTAGTCGGTACGCGTTTTTCATTAATTCCCTGATTTTTTTTGGCTTCATATTGTTTAGATAAGACGTATTTCGTTATATGAAACAATGATGATTCATATAACTGACCGCCCCAACCTCAATTTGTTCAAGACTTAGACGTAGTTGTTGTTTATTTGATTATATATGTATGTACAAACATGATTATATATGTGTGAAGCTTCACATGATGCAATTTTCTTGCTTGTTCTACTTGCTATAAATGCTAAATTAGTTTTTATGTCATGATGAATTACAATTAATGGTTCAACATACCTTATTTTTGGATGAATACAATGAAATTTCTACTAATGTTGCTCTAATTCCAAATATACCATCAAACCTCTTTCAAACAACGTTGTTTGTCCCAATATTTTAGGTTCCTATAGAGAAATATTGTTAGTCCAATAGGAAACATGGTTGTTATAGTGAAATATTTGCGATGATTGTAACAAAGAAGTCTGACTATGTTGTTTTGAAATTTGTTGTACTCTTGAAGCTGAATGGATCAATTCAGGCAGATTGGTGAGGTAGTTGGGAGTTTAACTGCTCTAATGATATTGAAACATGACATTCAAATAAACCAGAAGCAATGTTGTCTTCTGTTTGACATGTATGTACAAGCTTTCGACACGATTTCCGAGGGGATCAAACATAATTTAAGGTTGAATGAGAGGAACACAAAGTGGAAAGCACTTGAACATCCAATGAAAGAGCTTCATAGGATCTTTAAAGAAGGTGAAATGTACATAAAAAGTTGTTTGGATGTGAAAGATTTGTGGGGCAAAGCTATAAGTTTACATCTCAATAAGGACTGTGTTGAGTTTCATGTTCATAATTTGCTCTGTTGTTTCCCTGTTGTGATTGAGGCTATTGAGACAGTTGCAGAAATCTCGGGATTCGATGAGGAAGATATGCAGAAGAGGAGGACTGCACTCGCTAAAAAGTACGAGGGAGAGTCAATGTGTGATCCAAGATTCTTTCAATGGATGTTTGGGAAACAATACTTAGTTACTAGAGAGATATGTAGTGAATTGGAGAGTTGTTGGAAAGAAGATAGATGGTATCTTGTTGAAATGATAAGTCAAAAGATGAATGTTGCAGAAAATTTGGCGATAAACGAGCATAGTCTAGCTGAGATGTTGCTCAAGAAACTAGATGGATCAAAGCAACTCAGACAAATTATGCTCTTGCCTAGTTCAATATTGATTGGAGCAAGTGATTATCATGTGAAGAGACGTTTAGGCTCGCGAGGAGGACATGTTAAGGAGATTCAATGGTTAGGAGAAACGTTTGCGTTGAGGAACTTTTTTGGTGAGCTGATTGAACCAGTAGTTGCTGAGATTTCTCTAGTGTTTTCACTTTCACATCCCAACATTCTGCAATATCATTGTGGTTTTTACGACGAAGAAAAGAAAGAAGGATACCTTGTTATGGAGCTAATGAGTAAAAGTTTAGCAACTTACATAAAAGAGCATTCGAGTCAGAGGAAGAAAGGACCGTTTTCTGTACAAGTTGCTGTCGATATTATGCTTCAGATTGCTCGAGGGATGGAGTATCTGCACTCGATAAAGATCTATCACGGAGAGCTGAATCCATCTAACGTGCTCCTTAAACCAAGAAATCCCTCTGCGGAGAGTTATTTTCATGCAAAAGTTAAAGGATTTGGTTTAAAATCTATGAAGAGTAGTTATAAGGCTGCTGATGAAAATTCTGCTGAGTCTTTCATATGGTATGCACCAGAAATTCTCACTGAAAAGGAAAAACCAGAAAGCAAATGCACTTACAAGTATACAGAGAAGGCTGATGTTTATAGTTATGGAATGATATGCTTTCAACTTTTAACGGGGAAAGCTCCGTTTGATGAACATCTCCAAGGGGAGAAAATGGCGCAGAATATTAGAACAGGGGAGAGACCTCTCTTCCCGCATCCTTCACCTAAATATCTCGTAAACTTGACAAGAAAATGCTGGCAAACGAATCCAGACCTTCGCCCAAGTTTCTCTTCTTTGTGTAGGATTTTGCATTATATCAAGAAAGTACTTGTCATAAATCCAGGACATGGCCAACCTGAATGTCCTCCTCCACTCGTAGACTACTGTGAAATCGAGGCTGGCTACTCAAAGAAGTTCCCAGGAGAGGATAGCACTGGTTTGGCCCCGGTATCACAAATTCCTTTCCAGATGTTTGCTTATAGACTTGTTGAGAAAGAGAGAATATCTGGAAACTCTAAAGACAAGCACTGGGATTCATCACATTATGGTTATTCGAGCCACAGGACAGCATCAATGCAGAGCGACAATGAGCATATGGATGCAATGGATGATCTCTTTTTCGGTCCAAGTGATCGAAGGTCAATTTGCTCAGAGATAATAGAGAGTAAAGATCCAAGATTCTGGGATCAGAGGACAGTCATCTCTGAGACACCACTTCGAAAAGTTTCTTCATTCGAGCAAATGTCAGTTAGTTCTGAGAGTCCAAAAGAGAAATTCCCTGCAGCAGCAGCAAATGAAAAGTCAATCTATGATGATATTCTGGAAAGGAAGGAAATACTAACACCATCAGGTGATCAGTCCTCACCGCGTGTTGATACAACACCACGGAAGGCCATTTCATCAATGAGAAAGAACAAAAAACTGAATCTTTTGGAAATCCAGGAGAATGTAATGTCTACGAAAACAGATGACAGAAAACCTTCATCGAGTGAGCAGAAAACAGCGTCTCCTGTGATTTCAGAGAAGAAAAATTCATCAGGTGATCAGATAATAACTCATTCCGAGACTCAAGAAAAGAAACATGCACCAGATGATCAGAAACTAATAAGTTCTGCAACTCCAGAGGAGAAAAACTCATCTGATAACCAACAACCAAAAGATTCTCAAAGTCCAGAAAAGAAGCAGTCATCAACAGCTGCCAATGTCAAGACCATTCGTGGTGATCCTACGCAAAGGAAAGCTTTGTCAAGAAGAACAAAATCCAAGAATCCAGAGAAGAAAGTTCTATCAAGTCCGGAAGCCAATCAAAACTCAATGTCATCTGAGATAACAGCATCGAAACCAAGCAATTCAAAGGTAACTGCAAAAAAAACGCCATTTCACAAAAAACTACAGGACAAAGAGAGTAGCACTACACCAGGTTAGCTCTTCCAACTTTGTCAACTTGCATGTTTTTGTAATGAGAATATTTAGCTCAGACTCTTAACATAAATGGCTTTTTGTAGAAAAACTGACAGACCCATCACCAAGATCTTCACCAGCTAGAGCTAAGAGAATACAGTCATCAACTATGTCTTCTCCAACACGAAGCCTAAAAGGTTCATCTCCAAGATCACCTGCGATCACTACACATGGAAATGGATATCAATCACCATGTGCATCACCATTAAATCCGTGTTCTCGTTATGCCAGAGTAAGCCGAGAGCCCTACTTGTCCTCAGCTATGAGCCCAAGTAGACCAAGGAAACCTCAGAGCATTAGCAATAGCCAATCTGTGCACAACAGTTAACAAAGTTCATGCGGTTTTCAATTTTCAAATTTGACTAGAACAACTTTGCAGCTCAAAAATTTTGAAGCAAAGGATGGTTAAAATTTGTATATTATGCTTATACGTTAAGCTATTTTTACTTGTTGGAGGTCTGTACTCTCTGGATTTCACAGGTTTCGAATGCTATTCAGCCATTCACAACTGCGAAAGTTCAGCTAAAAATATCCGCATTTCACATTTATGAATCATATTTTGCAGACTTTGATTCACGTCACATTGGTTTCACTTGAAAGAACATAACAAACTTTTTTTCATCTAGACCCCAAAATGACACAAAAGAAATGGCAAAGCACTAAAATTCAATCAACAGGTCAATGTACAACTTTTTTTATAT